TCGCTAAAAAAAAAAAAAAAAAAAAAAAATCTTTATTAATATAAAATTCTAATAGCATTCTCATGTTATACTAAACAAAATTATCTTCGATTCCCACCCTTTGATTTTCATTCTGTTTTAAAACATCTTATTTTCACACATCATAATAAACCTTTAAATCAAACGATCTACTACATAACTAGGTGACTCGAGCTAGTCTTTACTTTCTTTGGGCCATATAATTACAATGGTAACGAGATAAATGAATATGTGATTGAATTAACTTTATAAAATATAAAAAACACTAGATACATTGAATGAACTAGATTAGAAGTTGAAGAATGTTTGTGATTCCAAGTTCTTCCCATACATGATTTAGTTGAATGATGATGATTATATGGGAAGAGGGGCCATTTTCAGTGCTCAGAGACTTGCTTCAAACCATGGAGCTAAATGGGTAAGGGCATGGCGGAACAGAAACATCTACATTACCTGCAAGCATTAACATAACCTTTTCCATGGTGGGTCTCTTGGATGGATCTTCTTGAATGCACCAAATTGCTACCCTTACAAACCTTTCCACTCTATGAAAGTCATCCATGGCTTCCATGTCTCCTTCAATCAAAGCTTCCACCCTTCCTTTCTCATAGCAATCATAGGCCCAATCAGTCAAAATCATTCCCTCCTCTCTTTCACCATCACCAAGTTCTGTCTCCACATTCCTTCTGCAACATATGATCTCTAGCAACAGCACTCCATAACTGTACACGTCGACCTTGGCGTTTATCGGCGAAGATCTGAACCAATCTGGAGCCACATATCCTTTTGTCCCTCTTATGCCAGTTTCAGTTCTACTTTGATCTACCTTTAACAACTTTGCCAGCCCAAAATCAGAGATCTTGGCATTGTAATCCTCATCAAGAAGTATGTTCTGTGGCTTTATATCACAATGAATGATGTGTGTGTCGCATTCTTCATGTAGATACAAGAGACCTCTAGCAATTTCAAAGGCTATTCGAGTTCTAAGCTTCCAACTCGGTTTCGGATCACCATTGAAGAGGAAGCTAGACAATGAGCCATTGCTCATGAATTGGTAAACAAGCATCCGGTTGCTTCCCTCGTCGCAATATCCAAGCAAACGTACCAAATTTTTATGGTGCGTTTGGCCGATGACATTCATTTCAGTTCTGAACTCTTTATCTCTATCTGCTTCAAACATTCTATCCAATTTCTTGACAGCAATATCACCCGCTTCTGTTGTTCCTTTGTAAACAATTCCACATGATCCTCTTCCTATTTCTTCCTTGAAACCATTTGTTGCTTTGTAGATATCCATGAATGTGAACTGGATTAAGTTACACTCAGAAAAGACATTCTTTGTGCAAGTTTCAGCTAATTTCTCCTTTTTCAAGACAAATAAGCCTAAACATTTGAATCCCAACAATATAAAGATGATAAACACAGAGCTACCAAAGAGAGCAGACATGACAATAATTAGTGTTCTTTGTTTCTTTACTGTTCTATCAGCATCTGGGAAACTCTCAAGTGAGACATTTTTTCTTAATTTAAGGAAAGAAACAGCTGTTATACTTGCATCCTGTCTTCCATTTGAGAGTGGTAGCCTTTTTTTCCAACAATCACTGCCTCCAAACACTGCTAACACACAAAAGCAATCTTCCAGGCAAGAACTTTTGCAAACTTGTTCATTTAAAGTGGAGAAACGCTCATAATCATACATTGGCCAATTAGTATTTGGAAGATCCACCAGTTCATATAGATTCTGGTTGAAGTTTCCAGCACCTTCTTGTTCTTCATCACAACTCTGTGTGATATATGGTTTGCAATTACCCAATTCATCGTTTGGATCAACTAAAGAATAGCCTTGTGCACAATTACAAATCGGTCTTCCATTAGATTTCAATGTGCAAATACTATTGAATCCACAGATTCCAGAGCCAAGTCTTCCAATTGGATTTTCATTAGAAAGACAGATATTATCAGGTATTCTAAACAAGTCTTTCCAGCTTCCATTGGCATCTCCATCTATGCCCTTTGGATAAGAACTTACACCCAAAACTCCATCAAAATTCATGGTGGCTCTGTAATAATAAGCCTCTACAGGGTTACCAACACTAGGCTGTGTAATGTTAGATTGCTCTCCATTTCTTTTCAGCACATACAAAAATCCTTGTTCATCAAAAATCACTTGGAGGCCAGAATTTTGTGAACTAGCAGAATCATAAGTGTTGCTAATATAATATGCATCATATGGAAAGCCAGAGCGCAAATTTATGGTGTTCAAAACAGCATTTCCATCTCTAAGCAAACGGAACTGAAACTTTCCAAGTGAGAAATTACCTTGAGATTTACGGGAGGATAGAACGCCATCAACCTCCAATTTCTGCGTAGGAAGCAACGTGTCCGTTGGATATGAGAAACTCTCCCAAATGGATCCATTGATTGAATCCACAAGCACGAAATTACCAGTATCCTTCATACTACCAAAGGCAACAGAAGCCGTAATAGGCTTCGATTTCCAGATTTCTCCACCGTTTCCATTTCGAAGAACCAATCCACTTGAAGCGGTAAGCTCAATCTTCGATCCTCTTGGTGCGAAAACAGGATTGTTGTCCTTTTCTTTGGCGAACCAAACGATATTGTTTTCCGGTACTTTGTAAAACCAGATAGCAAGCAAAAAAAGATCATCGTTATTATTATCAACGTTCCGGAAACCAAAAGCGAAATCATCAGAAGGAGAACGCCATGCCTGAACAGAAGAACTACCGGCGACAAGAGAGCTACCAGTGGAAATTCGAGTTCCATTACTTTGAGCACACACGACGACGACGACGAAACTCAACAACAGAAGAAGAAAAACGCTTACTGGAACCATTTTTGGCTGCATCGATTCTGAAAGAGCAAACGAAGAAGAAGAAGATGATGAAGAAACAAGAACTTTAACGTTTACAGAATCATGGACTGCAAGTCTTCCTTTGCTCCAGAAATTCATTTTTTAAATTATTTTTTTTTCTTACAAATTTCCCAGAAAAATTCAAGTTTGACTCGGTCTTTTTTTTCTCTCTCCTTATTTATTTATTTATTTCTAAATAATAATTTTCAAACTAATTATTGAAATATTGTAATTTTAATTCTACCTCTAATAATTTTTTAATATATTCATCGAATTTAAAATTTTAATTTTGTGTAGATTTCTGAATTAAAAAAATATATGGAAATGAAATTTTTAAGGGTTTATTAAATAAAAAATCGAAAGCTTAGGATTTTTTTTTTTTTTTTTTGTTAACATGCAAACTTTATAATTACGAAATTAAACTCGTGATTTATTCATTTTTTATTATCAATATTATGGTCATATTTTGTCAATTCGTCTTACACTTATTTAAAATAATGACTAAATTAATAAATATACTCATAAGTATTTTATTTTAAATATAACTTTTGAATACCCTCGAACTTTAAAAAATTTTTATTAATATTTTTTAATTTTTTTTAGTAAGTTAAAGAATATTCTTAACGTTAATTTAAAAATTTTAATTCAGGAGTATTAATGATTTTTTTTTTAATTTAAGAGTATTATTGAAAATTTTAAAATTTTAAAATAGAAATTTTAATAGTATTCATTTTAATTTTAAAATTTTAAAGTTATTATTATTATTATTATTTTTGTCTATATTACTTCAATTTTATGTATTTAAAACGTGGAAGAAATTCAAACAAATATGAACTATACACTAATTTTTATAATTTATTTAATCAAAAGAGAAATTTCATACAATTAATGTAACACGTGTCTGCCGCCAGACCATATTATTATATATTTATATTAACATATAACTGTGGTGGTTGAAATTTGATTTCATTTTTCCAAAATTTTGTTTTTTACTTTTCAAGTTCAAAAATTAGGCGTGTTGACCTTTGACATAAAATAATTTGACTTTTTGACTTTTTTTTTCCAAAATAATCGTTATATTGACTAGGCTCGTATTCTTTTAAAAGTTTTATTTTGACTTAACTTTGAGATTAGACGAGAATTTTTCGTTATATTAACTCTTGACAAATTGTACAAGAGATATACTTGCTTCATTATCCTGATATCAATTTATTTTACGGGCTATTTAACAGAGCTTAACTCAATTAAGTTACCGAACTCAAAATAAACCATATATGTCTCATTATCTTCTCACTCAACCCAAGAGAAATTATTCAGTGAGGTTGTCACAATGTGATGGACAGTTTTTGAACGGTTGAATGTATGAGAGAGAAACTGCAAAATTACTTTGAATTTGTATCTAGTGGTTATTACAAAGCATATAGAACTCTCGATCAAACTGTTCTTGAAAGACATCGATATCATAGAGGTCTCAACAACAATTTCATTAAAGACCACACTCAACCCAAGAGGAATTATTCAGTGAGGTTGTCACAATGTGACGGGAGGCAGTTTTTGAACGGTTGAATGTATGAGAGAGAAACTACAAAATTACGTTGAATTTGTATCTAATGGTTATTAGAAAGCATATAAAACTCTTGATCAAACTGTTCTCGAAAGACATTGATATCATAGAGGTCTCAACAACAATCTCATTAAAGACCACGTGTTAAGTAAATATATTTCACCTACTTTAAAGGTCATGAGCATATTAAATACATTATGGTTTGAATAAGTCACCTAACAATAGTACAAGAGATATAATTATGATAGTTGCTCTATTATTTCAATATCAATTTATTTTGCCTCCAACTTCAAAACAAACAACGTACATTAAATTATCTTTCAAATTTGAAATATACCCATAAATCATTCTTTAAACTTTTAATTCTTTCCTTCAACCCAAAACTGTCGAGTCTTTTCGACTCGGGCTAGATCAACAACTTTGGCCAAAGAGTTTTTATATATGTGCTCCCTTATGATGTTGCGCATTGACCCATCAATCTTACTTGAATAAATGTGGGCTAACATGCACAGGGTTGCATGTTCACCCTTCCAACTCAATGGATCGGTCGCTTAGTTACTCTTTCCAATTCTATGTTCAAATTTGAAGTCAAATTCAGTCAACGACTCTTGCCATCATGCTCGTCGGAAGTCAGTTTAGGTTGGTCAAAGAAATGGCAAATAATGTTGTGGTCAGTCTTTACTATGAAGTGGGATCCCTACAAATATTGTCTCCAGATTATGAGATAGCGAACGACCGCTAGCATTTCTTCCTCGGAGACAAGCTTTCAACTTTCATATAAACTTTATCCTTCTCATCTAACTCGACCCAAAATAAATTATTTGGAGAAGTTACCACAATGTAATCGAATGTTTCTAACCATTCATGTATGAGAGAGAAACAACTAAAGTACATCAAACTTGTATCCCGAGACTATAAGGGGTATGTAGATTTTCACATCTGCATCCAACTATTATTAAAAGACAGTCATATCATAGAAGACTCAACCTTGACCTTACGACAAATGGAATACAATCATCCAAAATCTAATATGACATAGTTATTAACCAATTTAAAGTATTTCTAAACAAAAAATTTACATACAAGAATTCTCCTCCACTGATCTACTATAACCAAATAACTTAACAAAACAAGAAATTAATTGTTCTTCCACAACCTCTTGACTGGGAAGAACTTCCCCAGTCTCCCTTCTCAAAGATGTCACATCTTTATCAGCAATCCCACAAGGCACAATATGCTTAAAATAACTCAGATCAGGATCCACATTGAAAGCCAGACCATGAGAAGTAATCCCACTTGAAATCCTAACCCCAATGGCTCCAATCTTCCTATCTCCAACCCAAACTCCCGTTTCCCCCTTCTCCCCAGCTCTAGCTTTCACTCCATACAGACCAGCCATCTCAATCATGGTCTGTTCCAGTTTCTCCACATACTTTCGAGCCCCAATTCCAATATCTCTAAGGGAAATTATTGGGTACAAAATGGCCTGATTTGGACCATGAAATGTAATGTCTCCCCCTCTCTCAGTGTAGTGAAGTTCAGCTCCTAGCTTCTCTAGATCCGACTCGGGGATTAACAGGTTGTGATCGGTCCGCCTTTTTCCAAGTGTGTATGTGTGTGGATGTTGCAGAGATAAGAGGGTGTCTGGGATTTCACTAGCTTTTCTAGCAGACACAAGTTTTTCTTGCAAATGGAGGGCTTCTCTGTAGCAGACAATCCCCATTTTCCGTATCTTCAGAGTTTGTGGCAATCTCATTCCCTATTTTAAAGCTATAGAAACGATTCTAACACCCGAGTATGTTCTTAATATCTATGGCTTGGAATCGAAATGGATCAGAGATTATAGACACAGGGCGGATTTCAGGGATTCATGTTTGATTCTTCGTGAAGTAAAGTCGAAAATTACCTCTCTCCAATGATTTCAATGTTGAGATTGATTCCAGAGAGTGGTTGATCTTCTTAACAGCAGATGAAAATGAAAGAACAGAAGAATGAATTGCTTCAAGAATTGAAGGAGATCCACACCTGAGCAAGAATCACAAAGGAAAAATTAATGAAAAGAACAAGAACTCATGAAATTCATACTTATAATCTATTAAAAACAGTCTTAAGGGGATAAACTCTTGATTGCCTCATTGGTTCAGTTCTAATATAATCTAAATTTTACTTCCCAGTGTTTTGATGATCAATTCCTAGCGTTTATATCTGAAGGATGATCACAGATTTACTAATTAGAAGTAACAAAGCCTTGAAAAAAGACTAGAATCTTAAGGAAATTTCAGTTGTAAAGAGGAAATCGGCTAAACATCAAACATGAACAAAATTGAGGCAATTAACTTGGCGAGAAATGCTAAAGAACTTCATATTTTAACTCAACTCATCGTTTCCTCTTGAATCGTGACATTCGATTTCCTTTTCGTCGCTATTTGCAATCAAAACCTGCATTATAACATATATTTCATCGATTTCTACACAGATTCATACTATTCTGCTTTCTAATTTCCATATCCCTCGCCAATTTACTCATTTGAACAAACACAAACAAACTCAGGATCCCAACCAAAATAATCTCAACAGATACAAATACTACTCTCTTCATTCTCCCTTGGTAGCCAACTTACCTATAACTTTGTATTCAGCCCTCCCGCACCGCCGCTACTGTCCGCCGTGGGTGGTGACGCCAAGCTGCAGTGTTGCTGATCTGGTACGTCACGCCGCCGTCACAGATAAGGAGCTCGGGTCTGGGTAGCTAGGTCCACCGGAGAGGGAAACGATAACTTTTTTTTTTTTTTTTTTTTTTTTTTTTTTTTTTTTTTTTTAAATAAAGAAATAATCACCTCACAAATTGAAGGATTGGTAAATAAAATTAAAAAAAAAAAGCACAAATTTTAATTTTAAAATTAAAATCTATTTAATCCTTAATTAAAAATGGAATTAAGAGATGTCTTACTAACATGTGTTAGATGAAAGTCTCACGTAGATTAATTTAGAGAATGATCATTAGTTTATAATCAAATAATATATCTCTATTGGTATGAGGCCTTAAAGCAAGCTATGATAACGGTGGACAATATCACTATTATGGAGAGTCATGTTCTACAAACATGGTATCAAAATCATGCCCTAAACTTAGTCATATCAATAGAATTCTCAAATATCTTCGAAAATATAATGACCTAAATAGAATTTAAAAATTAAAAATGAAAAAGAAAAAAAAAAGTTTAAAGTTTATGGAGTAAAATGGTAATAAGTATAATAGCTTTAGCATCAAAATAGAATAAAGACATTATTTTTGCTTCTTTTTTAATCTATTTAAACATTTTCTCCTACTCTATCAACTTTACCTCAAATAAAGTTTGGCTAAATAAATAAATGTTTGATAAGGTTTGGAGTGTTCGTGTGATTTGAGAACTTGAATTAGTTCATGTGTTGACCGTGATGTCCCATATTGGTTGGGGAGGAGAACAAACCACCATTTATAAGGGTGTGGAAACCTTCT